GATACCTTGATCACGAGCAAAGTGTGTGTCGATCCTGTCCGATAAGAAACGATAAAGAGAGAGTTTTTCCTGGAATGCGCATGTCGGGTTGGTGGACAGTCTTGCGACAATCTTAATCATACAGCCTATGTTGAGTGAACTTCCCCTCTCATTCATCCCTCGTGGCCCACGGCCGATATCAACGGGTTGTCTGTTTCCCCGTCATTTCCATTCCTGTTGTCCGTCGGCTCGTCCAAACAAAAGTTTGTTTATTTTATTCTGATCCAACCAAAAAAAATCCAAAGAAGCAAAGCCAAGAGGGGAACAGTTTCCCTGGGTATACAATGCAAAGGCCCTGGTTCGCTTCCGACAAGGGCAAACCGTAGGTAATAGTCGTGCCATCATAACGTGCTCGTTACCCGCGAAACGCCAACTCGATTGTTTCGCTGGTCGTGCAAGGGGGTATTCGTTCGGGTTCCCAACAGCGCGGGGCGGACACTCGGGTCCCCTGACCGAGAGACCTCTCCCATCTTCCCTAGGCAATGGCTTGTGTGGAGAGTTTGCTCCCCTGACTCGTTCAAGTAGCTCCCACATACGAGGTACGAGGATTTCGGTCCACAGCGTCAATCCTAGGGTGGACACCGCTTTTGCCCGTCGTGCCTGGCTGACCCTGTCGCTGTCGTCGGACAATCGGTAAGCTGGAGGCTCGATGATGCTGTCTGCGGGCTCCGCGGGCTCCCCCCCCCCACGTCGTCGTCGAGTCTTTTTGTAATACAGGGTGTGATATGCCTTTCTTATGCACTGTCTACCATCAAATACCGTATTTCTCGGGGTTCCAGTTTCGAGCATTGATTATGTTCTTCGGCTCAGCCTTGACGATGAAGGCAGCATCGCAGTATGAATTGACGGGTCGCTCAATCTCGGGCGGGTAATGCTGAACGTGTGGTCAGCAGAATTCGTCGCGCATAGTCACCTGGAAATGAACCTACCAATCGCATACAGCAAGCGTCGGCCAAACCCATCTCGCATGTTCCCAAGTCCTGGCCGAACTTGGTCTTGTATTGCCCACCGTGTGCCGGCTCACAATTTGTTCCAACTCTCAGCTTGTTATCAATCGGGCCCTTGCAGCAATGCGGTTCCAACGTGATGAAAGGACTCGCAAGCGTGTCGGCAGCTGGGTACGGGTAGCAATGGAAGGGTTCACTCTGCGCGAGGATGGTGGGGAGGCCAATCATGAGAAACAGTACGACTAGAAGCGCCGAGAATCCCAGAGGGCGCCGCATCTTGTGAGGGATGAACGAGTGGACGCGGACGACGATGGCAGACGACAAAATGGCGGTGCAGAAGTGTGATATGTGATGATGAGTCTTTTGAAGAACTTGGTAGAGGGGTCGAGGTAAATGTTGGGCGAGCAGGTGAAGATAAGTGGCCGTGATGGCTAGGATCGGGGGCGGCGAAATGGCTGCTGGTGGCATGGCTGCAGCCTTAATCTAATATTGGGGGGCCTCCTTGCTTGCTAAGACACAGGCTCGATGGCAACCAAAAGCAGGTGGGCCGACCGGAGATGGCCGAAGCTGACGGGCGACCTGTAGGGGCCAGGCCAGAGAGTATGCCTAGCTTTGCGGACGGCCGATCCAAGAGCCACGGGTGCCAAAGGCGGCGGGGGTGGAGAGGGCTGCTGATGTGAAGGTTGAGGGCGGGACCGGAGAGCGATCGCTGCGGAGGGGGGAGCGTCGCAATGCTCTGAGCTTAAAGAGTGGCGCTACCGGGAATATCGCCGTCGGAAGGGTGCGAAACGAGCGCGTGAGGGGACGAGTGACGATGGGTGGAAGGGATGGCCGGCGGGTCGATAAGCCTTACGGAGCACTGTTTACCTTTGTCGATGAGGTTAAAACTGTGCCTCACGTCCGCTTGGTGTTTGCCAGCGGGACTGGGAAGCGAGGGACTGCTGGAGGGATACCTAGGTATGCTGGAATCCGGAAATTTGGGTTCGAGTGTCTGGGGTGTCGACCCAGTGAGTTGGGACTCGGGGAATCGCAATGTTTGTTGTAAGGGATGGGAGGGGGGGGACCGCTGCCGTCCTCGAATTGCGATAGAATGAAGGAAGGGAATCGGCAATCCGCAGGTTTCGACTCAAGCCAAGACACAGAGGGTCGTTGCGAAGATGAATAGAGGAGCAGGTTTGCGAAAAGTCACGGAGGGAGCAGGCAGAGAGAAGAGGACAGAGAGACGAGCGAGTTCATGGAGCCGGCGGGGGGGGGGGGAAGGCTGCGGATGCAGACTGCCGGCGCAGATTCGCACAAGCGAGGAGTAATCGCCCACTGAGGGCACAAGCGAAGCTACATACCTAAGCTAAACTAAGACACGATAGACACAGACTGGCCCGATAGGTAGGAAGAAGGAAGGCGCCAAGGGAGGAGACTGCAATGTCGGAGATGAGGCACCGCAGCCACAGCCGCAGCCGGCCGGAGGGAGGAGCGGAGAGGAAAAGGGAAAGAGACCTACCTGCCGTACTACCTGCCTGCGGGCCTGCCTACCTGGGTGCTTATTAAGTAACCTGGGTATGTAAGGAGGGAAGCTACCCACCTTAGGTAGCTACACTACTGTTGAGAGGAAGGAAGGACCCGAGGTTGACAATAAGGGAGGGAGGGAGGGAAAGAAGTACGGAAGGAAGGAAAGAAGGAAGACCGAAAACCCAAAGATGGCTGCCTACCAGGTATTAGATGGCAGCGCAGTTCCGCCATGCCGTCATTGCTCCCTCCATACCTAGCAACCACCAATTTCTTTCAATCAAAACCGACGTCCGTACCATGTACAAGTAGCAGACCCGAACTAACCGGCGGCTTGACCAATTGCGCATTGCGGTTTGTTGAGACTAGCACTGGTACTCGCAGCCTACTTAGCCGGGCGTTCGTCCCCCGCCGATGCGCTACGCCCGAGCCTGCAAGCTGCCCACCAAAACCGACAATTCACTCCACCACCGAGCAACTAATACCTCTTGGCCCCCTCGTTTTACGGCTTCTTATGGCGAATCAGTCGACGTACGAAGGGGAAGTACCATACGGCAAACAGTCAGTCTACAGAGAAGAGTGCCTAGGTAAAATGAGGCAATCCTACAAGCGCATACGGCTCATTCGATGCCAAAGAGATGATTCATCGGCCGAGTTGTCCCAGCCACGCAGCATCACCTCAGATGACGGGTATGAGTGAGCCTTTGCAACCAAGCGGTAAGCAACAGTGGGTTGCAATTGGAGCTGCAGTCGGATACTCTCTTTTTCAGAACAACCCCCCATCCCGAGTTTTGGAGGTGCTTTCCTCTTCTCCTCCAGATCCAGAGAGTAACTGGCTAGATCTCTGAGCTGGCTGCTGTCACCCATCCTGGACCATCCATGCAAGATGCAAGGGACGCACTGGTGAGGGTGCGGTAACCCTTCCCTTTTTACATGACCCATCTGTCTCGCTGCCTTGTCAGCTGCTCCGCCAATCAGAGTGTGCGTGCTCGCTTCATTAGCAGGCGAGCTGTGCACGAGTCCATTAGCAGTCCGGCCTCCGATTAAAGTTATCGACTAGGCCAGCCGTCTCTCTCTCTCTCTATACATAGTAGTACCTATACATAGTACATATTGCCCGCCACCAAAAGTCGCATTGCAACCCGCACGATGCCCGTCTCCGGCCGCCCATTCCGTTGGATTGCCGGTGAATTGCCGACGGCATGAGCCATCGGAATCGCCGATACCATCCATACATGCTCACGCAGTCCCGGCCTTTCAAGGCTCGGCCAGTTTCTTTGATTTTTGGACAAAGCCTTGTCCTCACTTCCAGCCCAAACAAACTTGTCAGCCAACAAAAGATGATGCCATATGGTTTGCAATCGACTCTACCCCCCCAAGACCGTCCGTCCGCTTTTGGTTTTTTTTTATCTGTTCTTTCTTGGACATCGTCTGTCCAACTTCGCAGATTTAACTTGCACTTGGAGTATCGTTACCCGGACAAATCCAAACAACTAGAGATGTGCTAACAAGGGTAAACCACGGAAACCCCTTGTACTTTGCCTAGCTTCATCAAGTCGATGGATGGGCCGTCAAGGGATAATTGGATCAGGAATGTCTCGGCTATCCCTTCTCAATGGACTTTTTCGTTATATGGAAGGTAGAATATCAGACGAATGTCACTCTCCCCTCCAAAAGTCCCTCCCAAGGTGGATTGGGGGCTGCTTTGGATATAGCTTGTTTGATATTGGGACGAATATAGTCCCAATGTAACGTGGAGAAAGTCACATACCTATGATGAAGTTACTGCATGAGTCGATGAGTGATGAAACAGTGTCCGTCAAACTGTGGAAAAAGAAAAAGAGGAAAACCCATCACCCATGTTTCAGCCTGCCGGCTGGCACTGGCTGTTTCCCGGAAACAAGACAGCACAACGCGTTGCTGCAATCCCGACGACTTGTCCAAAGAAGGGTAGGTAACAGGTGGAATTACGTGCTTCATGCTTCATGCTTCCTTCAAAAAAAAAAAAATTTGAAAAAAGAGAGAGGGAAAAATTGCCGGTTCGTCTGAGCACCATCCGCCGTCTCAGGAACCAGCTTGAACCATGATTCTGCTCAAACCGGTGGGGAAGAAGAGAAACCCTGGGCCCAAGTCCTGAGGGGGACAAGGGCCATCCAAGGTGGATATGATATCTGCGGTCTGGTAAAACACAACGATCCCTATAATCTCACGTCTTACGCCGCAGGCATGGGGGGGGAGGTGGGCATGGGACGAGTGATTCTCCGCGCCGCAACGCATCAGGACTCTTGTTGAAACAAACGGCTATCGTCCCAAGAGACCGCACCCGTCGAGCCGGAGTTGCGCCGCGGGACCTGTCACGTCTTGGGCATGCAAGTCTCGATTACGGGCCGAGGCCGCCTTTGTCTCATGGCCGTCATGTAATGGGCTATAGGACCGCCAAATTAAGGGGTTCCCTCATCCGCGGAACTCCCTCCGAGACCCGGTCCTGAATTCATCCGAAACCGTCGCCATCCCGCTACCATCCCTTACCCCGATCAGACGGCATTTGCTAACGCCGTCCCGAGCAGGACGACCGTGCACCACCAACCGGCCCGTCCGCCTTGCGGCCAACCCGTCGCCGCCACCGCGCCCCCACAGACGACAACGCCGCCGCCGCACCGCCTCGAACACCGGCCCTCGCAGCACACCATCCCGCTCCCGCACTCCTCCTCCGTCGGCCGGCAGTAGTCCCCCTCTCGAACGCGGGCGCACACGCCGCCGCGGAACGTCGTGCCCTCGGGGCAGCACACGCCCACCCGCGCGTCAACGCACCGGTACCCCTCGGCGCAGCACCCCGGCCCGCAGCAGGGCGCCGTCTTCGGGCAGCAGTTCCAGTTGCGCGGGAGATGGCAGGCGACTGAAAAAAAAAAAAAAAAAGAGTCAGAAGGGGGGTTTCCGGTCAGTAAAACAAAAGATAAAGTAGTGAGAAGTCGTGTGTGTGTGTGTGTGTGTGCGGGTGTGGGAAAACGGAATCACGGAGAACGAAAGGTGGGCGGAATGCAACGTACTTGTGTCTTTGGGGCATGTTTCCCGGCTGCTCTCGTCCAGCGCACGCCGCCCTGGCAGGGCAGGGCTGCCGACCTCGACTCCGTAGTCTAGGCCCTGGGGGGCGGCCGGCTCTTCCCGCGTCGGCTGCCGCGGAGCCTGAGTATCCCCGGGAGTCGCGGAGCATAGCGCGCCCATGGCCGCGAGCAACGCGAGGCTGTAAAACGTCTTCATCTTTGTTTTAGAATGTGCTCTCTTGTGTTTGGTTTGCGGATGTTTTGTGGTGATGGTGGTGAGGGGGGGAAGGCGGCGTCGCGATGATGGGAAGCCCTTGATATGGTTCTTTTTTGAGGAAATCGCAGTGAATCGCGTATGAAGAGGACTCAAGACGAAAGAATCTTGGTAAGGAAACACCGAGTGACTCCCATTCACCACGGTCTGTGGGGGTTGTTTTCTGGTATATGACCGTTCCCGTCTATGTAACTCCGAAAGCTCCCAATCACCAACCCTCAACTCAGCCCGACTTTTTCATTTTGACCTCTCGCCCGACTCCGTCACAGTCAGCTGTGACTCAAACCTTTCCAGCATCTTCCTTCAGCGACACGATGCGGTTCAGGATAATCTTATCCTCGGTGCTGTCGCAGTCCATGGCCTAAAATGCACGTTAGTGTGTTTCTCGGTTTCTGGTTGTTGTGCATGACTTACAAAGTAGGCAATGCGAGTGGCCTGGAAGCGCACACTCTCCGGACCGCCCTTGCCCAGCTCGCTCTCGCCGGCGGCTTCGGGCCAAGGGGCTCGGCGCTTGACCTCGTCGAAGCCGCTCTCGATAAGCGCATCGGGGTAGATGACCTCGCTTTCCGGGTTGATGTCGTTGAGGAAGCCGCCCTCGGCGTCGTCGGGCTTCTCGCTCTTGAACAGCGAGTTGTGGATACGCGCCTCGACCTTCTTGGAGCCCTCGGTACCGACCCAGTTGATGTAAGCCTTTGGCTTCTTCGTCTCCTTGTCGAAGACGGCGCGGATCTCGGTGACCTTGCCAGTGGCCTCGTCCTTGGTGTAGGATACGGCTTTGATGGGGAAGGGCGCGTTGAGCAGGCCGACCGTCTTGTTGGGGGCCAGACGGAAGTAGTCCTTGCTGTCCACCTCTCTGAAGTCGGCACGGTCAATGTAAACAGTGGGCGTGAACTTGATGGTGTGCGATCCCATGTTAGGATCCTTGGGAGAGAAGGCCAGCTCAACATCAGCGGGCTCAGCATCCTCGATGACGACGGGAATGGGGTCCAGGACCATCATCAGCCTGGGTACAGTACGTTCCAGGTACTTGCGCACAGTCTGCTCGAAACGCTTGATCTGGATAACAGAGACGGAGGTGGTGACACCCAGCTCGTTGACGAAGTCTAGAATTGCGCCAGGGGGCACGCCGCGGCGCTTGATGCCGATGAGCGTGTACAGACGGGGGTCGTCCCAGCCACGAACAATCTTCTCCTCAACCAGCTTGAGAATCTTCCTCTTGGACAGCACCGTGCCGGTGATGCCCAGGCGGCCGTATTCGCGCTGCATGGGCTCGTAGACACCAAGGGTCTTGTTCAACCACTCGTACGAGACACGGCTCTGGACGAATTCGGTCGTGCACAGGGAGTGCGTGATGCCCTCGAAGCTGTCGCACAGGCAGTGCGTGAAGTCGTATGTTGGGTAGATCTTCCAGTCCCAGCCGGTGCGGTGGTGCGGTGTGTCGGTCTTGATACGGTACGCTGCCAAGTCCCACATCTGGGGGTTGCCATCGGTGATGTCCTGCTTCATGCGCAGAAACGCCTCTCTGGGCTTGTACTTGCCATCCCTCATGTCTCTGAACTTCTGGAGGTTCTCGTCAACGGTGTGGTTTGCGTGCTCGCACCGGAATCGGGGGGAGGCGCCCTTCTCGCCACCACGCTGGAGCTTGATCTCGGTATCTGGCGGGATCCAAATGGTCAGTGTTTGAACGCAAGTTAACGCTCGGGAGCCACTCACCTCCGCAGTAGCAGACATAAGCCTTCTCCAGGGTAATCATCTTCTCTGCCAGGTCGTACAGTTTCTGGAAGTTGTCGCTGGAATAGGTAATCTTGTAGGGGGCAAAGCCAAGCCACCTGACCATCTCCTGGATGGCGGTGAAGTATCTCTCCTCCTCCTTCTCGGGGTTCGTATCGTCGTATCTCAAATAGCAAACACCGCCGTGATACTTTGCAAACCCAAAGTTGACGGCAATGGCCTTGGCATGGCCAATGTGCAAACTGGATGTGGTGTCAGAGACGTGACCATCATGAGACCGGGTGTACACCTACTAGCCATTGGGCTCGGGAGGGAATCGCGTAACGACATGCTCGGATGGCCTCTCCTTGTACACCTCCTGGAGGAAGCCCTGCTTAAACATGGCCTCCGGGTCCAAGATTACCTCCTCTGGCTTTGCCTTGGGCTTGGACACGGGCTTATCGACTACGGCGGTAGACTTGAGGGCTTTCTTTGCGCGCTTCGCCAGTCTCTTCTTCAGCTCGCCCTTGCTGACCATCTCTCCCGTCTCCTCGTCAAGCTGGAGCTTGACCGTCGATTCGGCCAGCTTGTCGGTGGGATCCGCAGCAGCGTGCGCCATGGTTTCTGTCTTCGGACGTGTTGAAAAGGAGTTTATAAATAGCTCTCGTGCGGTTCCTTGGTATCTTGGCGTCGCTTAACGTTCGAGAGTTGTTCAATTGGGTACCATAAGAGGCTCAAAGGTTGGAAAATGCGTGCTTGTGATGGCGGGGCAACACTTCTTTGACGGCGGGGATGACTCAAATGGATCCAACGAGGGGTCACAGCAACGGAGGGTGGGTGGGTCGGTGGAAGATTAGATAATACATATGCCAGATAAGATAGCGAACCTTTGTCTCCACTATCCCCTCAGGTTTATCGTAGTTATTGTGCACTGTACCTACTCCGTAGTGTACTATCGGATGGAGGACATGGGGGGGACATTATCAGCTTATGTGTACGGATATACTCCCTTTCTAGCCAATTCGATAAGGTACTGAGATACAAGAGTACGTATCCAAGCCATTGAACAGGTACCTACACTAGAAACCCAGTATCATGATCAGAAGAACCGAACTACCTACCTACCCTATTGACTAGGCTCGCAGCTGACAATGGAACCTTGAATTTACCATAGAGATGAAGAGCACCTTGTGAGATAGTGAGGTGTTGAAAAGCTGAAAGCTGGCGCTAACTGGGTACTTACTACACTGTCACTGACTGCCATTCGCCAAGCAAGCTTTCAAGGTCGGTTGAATCACTCATGAACAATAACCGATTGATTCAATCTCAAACACAACATCCGGCATTGAGTTGATTGTCAATGATAGAGACCTCTTTGAGGCCTTTCTAACACACGACCCAGCCTCTACATTCTTCCTCGGACGGTGATTGTCTAGCAAGCAACGCAGCAATCGTCTGAACAAGGAAGAAGCCTGATAAGCCACCGATAAGACTCGACCGGCCAAAGCTCGAGCTCAACCAGTAGCTGTCTGCACCTAAATTTAGCGCGGGGTCTTTCTTTCGTCATGGGTTGCTTCTCCTGCTTTCGCTCGGGGGCTTCTTTGACTCCAACACCTCAAAAACCAGCCGGTCCTCGCCCGAGTTCGAGCCCATCAACCTTGCCCAAACCAGATACACCTAGTTCAGGACCGTCTATGCCAATCCGACAAACTGCCAAGATGGCCACGATCGCTGCTGCCGAAATCGCCACCGTCGAGCTCCTCTACAAGCTCGGCAAGCTCACTGCGTCTCGGCAGCCCCTCTACCCTCCCAGCGCGTCGCATAACCAGAAGGTTGGCGTTATTCGAGGCGATATCACGAAGCTCCGCGTCGACGCCATTGTCAATGCCGCCAACAAGAGCCTCCTCGGCGGCGGTGGCGTCGACGGCGCCATCCACCGAGCCGCAGGCCGCGGCCTCCTGCAGGAGTGCAGGACCTTGAACGGGTGCGATACCGGCTCCGCCAAGATCACTGGCGCTTACAACCTTCCTTGCAAAAAGGTCATCCACACTGTAGGCCCAGTTTACGACGAGCTCAACCCCGAGTCCTCCCAGGAGAAGCTGGAGGGCTGCTACAAGACGAGCCTGGCCCTCGCCGTTCAGAACGGCTGCCGCAGCATTGCCTTCAGCTCCATCAGCACCGGCATCTACGGATACCCCAGCCGCGAGGCCGCCCCAGTCGCCGCCGAAGTTGTCCGGGGGTTCCTCGATGGAGAGGACGGCAAGAAGCTGGACAAGGTCGTCTTCTGCACCTTTGAGATGAAGGATGTCGTGGCCTACGACGAGACTCTCCCGTACGTATATGGTTCTTCAATCGTCCGCACGTTGTTGGCATCGCGCAATGCTGACCCACTCTTAGGATCTTCTTCCCTCCCACCGACCAGCCCGCTCCTTCCAAGGAGACTGACGACGGCCCGTCCGAGGAGCAGGCCGAGGAAGCCAAGGCCGTTGCGGCGGAGCTGCCCAGCGTCCCAAAGGCCGATCCTTCCCCGTAATCGAACGACGTTTTACACGACAAAAAGGGGTCGGCGCATGACTACATAGTAGCTGCTCATGATGCCACGAATGGATACAGATACTTGGGGAGTTTGCGGCGTTGGGGTAGGGGAAAAGAGAACCGTCCAGACCGGACCGTGCACAAGAGCACGGTTCGCACCAGGCTGTCTAGTGTACCTAGTTTATCGTATTTAGCCTTTTTGATTCCTAAGATCGTTATTGAGTTTGTGCGCCTTCTTGCCAACCTTCTTTTTATTCTCGAGTGCGCAAACCACGTGATAGAGGTCAAAACCACGTGGCAAATAGACCGCTCGATTGAAGCTGCTCTTTGCTGAAGGAAGCTGCCATTGAGTGTTGTCTTGTCATCATATCGTTTCTTCTTGTAGACAAGGGTCGGTTGACATGCTGGATTTGAACTGAAAGCAGTTCAAGGCAATGCAAGGAACAATCACAGAACAGGCGGTTCGCGGCAAGCAAAGATAGACCAGGACCTGAACTTAAGACCATTCGAGAGAATTGCATCAAAACTCCCATTGCAGAGGTAACATTTATTGGTGTCAAATCCCCCCGCACCTTGAAGAGTCACAAAGGGTAATCTACTTTATTCGCTCAAGCAAGGGATATCGTTACCCTCGACAATTCCAGTGGGGTTGGGGGGGCGGTGAGCTTTTGCTCAGCCACAATGGGAAGACCACTCATACTTATTTTGAGTTTTTGCTGCTAGTAATGATCAGACATGTAGTTCATTTAGTGCGAGTCAAGCCGCATTGATCACAGAGTCATGGCCGAGGCATACTCATTCAACTGAGACCATAGACCGGGATCACAACCATAACAACTGTAAGACTTCTAGCCGAGTGCAATTTATTGATGATGGCTAAACCAAAGAAAATACGCGATAGATAACAAATGACAAAAACTCTCAAAAATACGGTAGGGAAAGGAATGGGCATGCGGCCGTAAAAACGGCATTGCCTTGCCGGTTATCGGGCTCCAGCTCGCCCGCCTGCCCGCCAAAGCCGGAGTCGATCCCTGCAGGACAGGCTATAGACAGACAGACCATTGTGACCAATAGTGGTTGTCAAGGGTCCAACGGTGATGCCTCGTTCAAATTGCTCGATAAGGCCCACTGGCGATCCCCCCGGCGAGATCAATTTCCCTTGCGGCCAGACCGACACGGCCCCGGCAGCGAAAGTGGTGCAATGTTAAATGCGCCATGTAAGTTGCGGTGATTAATAGCGACAATCTCCTGTACGAAATAGACTACCCGTCCGTGCTAGACATAGAACTGCTACGGACACTGGTCGGGTTCCGGCCCCAGTCGCAGAGTAACCTCGTATCCACGACCTGCCATCTTGAGCTAGCGGCCGACTAGCGAAGACAGAACAAGCTTCCCATTTCTACTGGGAAGTGCGATGATGGCAATATCCACGGACCGAGATGGCCATCATGGGCCCATGGTCGATGGCGAAAATAGATGACGACGGTTATGGCCGTCGTGGAGTATAAGACCACGGCGGCGCGTCCGCAACTGTCGCCCTGGGGTCCTGTACTGAGCTTTAGCTTCTAGCCAGACACACGCCAGGACCGGACTGTTGCTCACCAGACTCGATCGTCAACATGCGGAGCTCCTCGGTCGTATCCCCAGCTCTGCTGGCCGCCGCTGCTGCGCTGATTCCCTCCGCCAACGCCGCCGAGCCCTGTGCCCAAGTCAGCGCTGCTTGGGCTGCCCAGCATGCGTCTGCTCCGACTGGTAATCGATCCCATGCGACCTCCCGTGCTGCTTGGCGCGCCGACTAACAGCAAGGTGTGGCTCTATAGTTACCCCGTTGGTACCGGCCGAATTGGCGTATGCCTGTCTCAACTCGGTCCCTATCAAGAAGGACGCAGCCATCGCGCTTGTGGACTCTCTGGTTCCATACATGGAGTGGCAGAGTGGTAAGTCACAAACCTAGACCGGGAGGAGCTTCTTCAAGTTTGGAGATTGTTGACACGTCCCGCAGATGCCGCATACAAGGCGGACCCTCCCGCGGGGTACGACTTTCCAGGATTCGACATGTTCGCCGCCCTCTCCAAGATCAAGGAGAACGTCCAAAAGAATGTCTACCCCGGCGAATACGCCTTCCAGTCCGACCTCTACCAGAAGGTCTTTGCCCCTGGACACGACGGCCATTTTATCTTCTACCCTGACCTGCTCACTGCGGTCTTTGAATGGACTCGTGAGCGGGCTCTGGTGTCTATCAGCGAGGACGGCTCGTCTTTGCCGGTGATCAAGATCTACGGTAAGCATGTCCTGGACCTCGTTATTCGCGCCGCGTTCCGGTCTGACCCCCTTCTCAGAGGAAGTGATATCGACACCCAAGACTGCATCCGTGGTCAAACTCATCAATGGTGTTGATGCCTCCAAGTACTTGGCCGACACCGTCAACAAGGCCGTTTGGAACCGCGACGCCAACTCTGCCTACAACTCTATGTTCTTCGAGATGGCTGGCAACGCTACTGGGGTTGGCAAGGGCAGCTTCAACTCCAATGGTCGTATTCGGTAGGACGCAGCCTTCAACCCACTTGAATCCGGGGATTCTCACTGACATTATCGGCAGCTTCATCTACCCAGGAGCCAACACGACCATCACCTTCGCCAACGGCACCGAGGCCACCTTCGAGAACCATGCGAGAGTCAAACGCGATCTCACGGGCATCGTTGACGGCCCATCCTTCTACGCCAAGTTCTGCAATCCTGCGAGCCCCGTGTCCAATACGGCGCCTGGCGCCACCCCCACCAACGACACCCAATCCTCCCTGCCCGGCTACCCCAGCCCGATCGCCTCGACCAACGACAGCGTCGTCTCGGGATACTTCCTTGAGGGCAAAGGCTTCGAGGACGTTGCCGTCATCGCTCTCACAGCCTTCGAGGGCGAGAGCACGTCCGAGTTCCAAAGGGTCACCCAGCAGGTCATTGCATCCTCCCTCGCGGCCGGCAAGACCAAGCTCGTCATCGACTTCCAGCAGAACGGCGGCGGCTACGTCTTTCACGGCTACGACTTCTTCCGCACGCTGTTCCCCAACACGGTCCAGGAAGGCAACTCCCGCTGGAAGGAGAACGACGGCTTCCTCGCCGCCGCCGAGGTCGTCTCTGACATCGTCGCCGGCGTCAACGTCTCCACCAGCCCCGACGAGGACCTGGTCAACTTCGCCGAGACCTGGTTCAACTGGCGCTACGACTACAACATCACAAACCAGCCCTTTACCTCGTACGAAGACAAGTTCGCGCCACAGGTTTTCAAGAACACCAACTACACCGACCTGATGCGCTGGAACCTCAACGACCCCATCACGACCACGAACACTACCTTTGGCATGGGCATCGGAATTCACGGCTACGGCAAGCTCGTTGGCCTCTCCCAGCCGTTTCTGCCTGAGAACATCGTCATCCTGTACGACGGCGTCTGCGCCTCGACCTGCACCGTCGCGTCGGAATTCCTCCGCCACCTGGCCGGCGTCAAGTCAGTCGCCTTCGGCGGCCTCCCCGTCGAGGGCCCCATCGAGGGTGTCGGCGGCACCAAGGGCTCCCAGATCCTGGACTGGAGCAGCATCTACGACTACACCACCTCCTTGCTCCCGTACGCGTCGACGGACAAGCAAAAGGCCGCCTTTGCCCGCTACACCGACCTGCCCCTGAACCGCAGCATCTCCGCCGCCGTCAACGTCCGCGACGAGATCCTCCGGGACAACATCGCCGATGGCACCCCCGCACAGTACGTCCGCGAGGAGGCCGACTGCCGCCTCTACTGGACGCTTCCGATGATCACCGATGTCACCGCCGTCTGGAAGGCGGCCGCCAACGCAGCCTTCAACGGCGGCAAGTGCGCGAGCGGTGGCATCGCAAAGAGAGACGTGTCGGAGAAGGCCGAGATCTTGCGCAGGGACTACCTGGAGGCCCATCGTCTCCAGCAGCGTTTCGAGGCCGTCTCTCGTTACACGCCGGCCATCAAGGACCGTTTCTGGGAGAGCAAGCATGTGTTGAAAGCAATCGCCTAGACAGAGATAGTGGCGGAAGGCATTTGGAGTTCTCGTGTCAGCATTACATATTCTGCTTATGACAGTAATTACTAGACCTATTAATGACTATTAGAAGACTGTAGTGCAATACTGAGATGAAGTCTGGAAGCATTCTTGTTCTTCCGTCTTCACGATGGGGACTTGCTTCTGATCCAACCAGTCAGGTTCGGGCCTCGCCAGCCATAGACCGTACGTCAAGAAGTGATCAATGGGCACAATCGAAGCATTGGGAATCTACGCCGTGGTTTTCCTGCGTTCTGCGGAACCTTTCTGGTTTGGTCGATCGCCAAGGTGCGAAGCGACGGTTGCTGACTAAGACAAGTAATAAGTCAGCCATCTATCTGTCCAGTCCCGCCGCTGCTACTACGTAATGAAACCACGCGGCCAACCAATTCTACCAATTGAGCAAAAGATGGCTCGACGCTGCATTTGATCCGGCCAGTCCAATCTCGCTCACGATGGCGGACAAATACTCTGCACAAGACCTCTCAGATGCCGCCTTAGGAGGGCCAATTGGCCTGAAAGACGGCTACTTTGTCGACGGCCACGGCCGTACACTCACCCTGCACGGGCTCAACATATCAGGGGCCAGCAAACTACCCACAAAACCCAATGGTCTCTCTCATCTCACCGACGGCTTCTTCGAGCACCGCACCGTGACCTTTATCGGCAGGCCGTTTCCCCTCGAAGACGCGCCGCTACATTTCCGACGCCTGCAGGCGTGGGGGCTTCCCCTCGTCCGTCTCCTCGTTACCTGGGAGTCGCTAGGTCACGCCGGGCCGGATCCCGAGACCGACCTCGACCTGGAGTACATCGACTACTTGCGCAAGCTTGTCGAGCTTATGCCAAAGTACGGCATCAAGTGCTTTGTCTGCGCTCACCAGGACGTCTGGAGCAGGTTCAGCGGCGGCAGCGGCGCCCCCGGATGGACATTCGAAGTCGCGGGGCTTGACGTGGAGGCCTTCACCGACACGGGCGCTGCTTATGTCCATGGCCAGGACAAGCTGCGCCGCGCAAGCGCGCCGGTGAATGAAAAGGAACCCAGCGGTCCTTTTGTGTGGCCTTCCGGGTATCAGAAGTTGGCTGCATCGACAATGGCTACCCTGTTCTGGGCCGGAGACGCTCTTGCGCCAAAGCTGCGCTGTCCGCACCCACGGAGCTCAGGGAATGACAGCACTGTCTCGGTGCAGGAATACCTTCAATGCGCATTCATTGAAGCTTTTGGTCGGCTAGCAGACGAGATCAGCGGTCTCGAAGCATGCATTGGGTTCGAACCTTTGAACGAGCCCCACCGGGGCCTCGTTAACCTTCATGGTTTTGATGGCTGGAACTATGACACCGACCTTCACATTGGATACTACCCTTCCCTGACACAGGCACTTGCTCTGGCTAGCGGTTATGCCCAGGAAGTGGACTACTATGTAAAATCTTGGCCGTTCCCAACACGTGTATCGCATCGTGCCCGCGTCGACCCGAAGGGAAGGTCAGCCTGGCTACCTGCCAGGTCGGATGCGGCAAAGCCCCAAAACTACGGACTGGGCGAGTG